CAAAGATTTATAAGGATGGTTGCAGAAAGGTAGAAATTCGAACATCATAGAAAATCTACAATTTCTTAATTTTTGAATATATTTGAAATCTGCAACATTTACAACCAAAATAAGTCCAAAAATATATACCAATCCAGACTTCCTTTTTTTTTTTTATACCATCTGACTTTAAACAATCAATAATATCCAGAACGTAAAAACAAGACCTATAGATAAGATGCTAGATTAACCGTGGAACATAAATGTAAAGAGCAATCTAATCGATATATGATTAAAAATATAAATTGTTACAAACATTATGTTTGTGATCATATTTTTATTCTAACTGGAAAAAGTTCCTAGTCTTGTAAAAAATGAGTCACAGACAATTTATTTTGTGTTATATTCTACTTTTTTAAAATAATAAATGATTATGGTTTACTTGCCCAAAGATAATGAAATTTGGTGAAAGGGATTTTTTCGCAAGGAAATAAAATATCTTATTCAAAAAAGTGAATGTCCTATTTTAAAAAATAAATAAATAAAACGATAACATGCATCTTTTAGACATTGGACAACTTGTAGGAACTGTTCAGGTGTTCCTCATTTATGTGATCATAATATATTTGAATTCATCATTTACTTTTTGAAATATTTTGTAATATTCTAGCATCCTTACATTAAGAAACAAAAATATAATATATCAAATATATAACAAAAATGTCTATTTTATAACTCTAAACGTCATAAGTAACTTGCAACCTTTGATAAAATATCTGTAAAAGCATATTTTAAACGCTGATCATAAGCAACTAATTATTTCAAATCTTCTTTTCTTTTAATGCATTATTGATAAATTAATTTGCACCATCAAAAATTAAATTGTAACGAGGGAAACACCATATAAACAATTAATATTGAGCATTGAATTTAATCCATATTTCTTTCGCAAGACGCAGTTGTTTTCCAAATTGGTTTATTTATTTATTCTTTTCAACAAATGATCTATTATTTTCGTAATACAGGGTCCTAAAGTATTATCAAATGTTATATGTTTAATGTATAAAAGTACTTTAAAAATTCCTTCAATATGTCCTTTCCATTGCTTATGGTCTTAATCAATTTTCATTTCAATTATGTAAATATCAATATTTAACATGTTAAGATGTTTATCGTAGAGTGAGTAGGGTATTTAATGGAGGAATTCGAGAATGCTAATTTCAGAGTTACCTCAAAGAGATTAACATTGTGCAATGTCCTATTATCACACGCTGGTTTAATAACATTTGCATACACCTGTATATATAGCTTGGACAAAATTACTTTTCTATTTCCCAAAATCATCATAAAATTTGGTAATAATCTATTCTCTATGATTTTAACTATGTATTTCTTTTTTAATATCTATTTATTCGCTGCTATGTTTTCAGAGAAATAAAATATTCTTTACAAAAAATTAATGAATAATAGTAGGTATACACACTTCTGGTACCTCCGAGAAAATTTCACAGATGTTTTTTAACATATTTCTTTAATATCAGCTTGTTAAAATGTTCTTTAAAATTTCTCCTGAAACAGAATATTTGAACAAATATCATAAGATATAGTGTATATTGCGTTTATTGTAGAAAACTCCCAGCTGCCTATACACAGGCTTGTAACACGTGTCTTGATCGATGTCAATAACTTATCAAACAGTGTCCACATCAAGATAAAGGTATCAGACATCCGATAAACGGTCTACTTCAGTCGACAGAGGGTCACACTTAGTAGGTCATTCTCAGTATCTGCATTGTTTTGACGCTTAGTGGATGACCTCTTAATTCAAAAGACCTTAATCTTAATTTAAAAGTTTCAGTCATCAAAAGTTGTATTTCTTTTGCAATTGTAAAAGCCTGATATTATAACACCCCCCCCCCCACACACACACACAGAGAGAGAGAGAGAGAGAGAGAGAGAGAGAGAGAGAGAGATCTGATTAAATAACTCATATTTGTTAACAGTGAGAATCCTTTTGTTTTTAAATGACTCGATATTTCTCAGAGACAGAGACCAAGATCGATAATAAAATTAAATGTATTGGTCGCTTTAACGGCATCAGTGCATTCTGAACCTTTTAACACGCTTTAATAAGTTATGTCAAGAAGCATTGAAATCAAGTACTCTACGTGTATAAATCTCCATGCATTCAGATATTGAAAGCAATTTTGAAAGTTTTTATGTGTATACATGTATATCATTCATATATCCTAGGCATAGTAAAGTTGTCCAGATTACATTTCTATACTATCCATCTGCCTTTTTTTGTTCTTGGTGTTGACAAATAAAACTTTCCTTGATAAGTTCATACCTGGATCCAGACACCTGAATTTTACAGTGAAGGACAATCAGAAAATTTTGAAACTCTTTTTTAAAAACAAATGCATGGGGCGTTTATGTCTCCCAACTGATTCGATAAGCAAGAACATGCTCTGAGTACGATCTACTTATAAACTGAGGCAAGTAACTAACAAATAAGTTGATGTTGCAAGGCTTTCAACAACCCCGTTTAATGTCAGCTTTTTGCAAATCCTTCGGTCGTTACAATAACCTTGTTTGTAAATATAGCCTATCATTAGGTCTTATCTTGTCTGAAATGTTTCATACCATTTGTTAGGTCATTGCTTGTATACTAAATTTGACAATAGAGTTCTCCGTTCACCTGATCAATACATATGGCTCACTGTGGGTGTAACCGGTCAACAAGAGACGCTTACTCCTCCAAGGTACCTGATCCCATCTCTGGTGTTTCCAGGGATCCGTGTTTTTGCCCTGTTCATGGTTTGATTATAGTACTGTATTTCTGAGATTGATCACTGTTTGTTATCTTCACCTTTTACTGAAAACAAAAGCCAACTCATTTAAAAAAATCCACACTCTATCGCTTACTTGCCTTTGTTCAAAAAAATACTCGGAATATTGACAAGCCATGGTGGTTTAACTCGAACAAAACCAACAGAAAAAAGCAAACAAATCAAAATTAAAACAAACAAAAACAAAAAAAAACTACATGTACTGTGTTGAAAAAGGAGAAAATAATGATCGATGAAATGTGAAGATATCGAACAGTGATCATGTTCAAAGTCTTTCTACTAAAATACAAATTGTGAGCCGAGCCAGCAAGGAGGTGGGTCTCGACCGGTTAAACCTGCCCCTTATCATGATCTGGTAAACGGAAAAATCCGTAGATAATTCAATGTGAAAGTAATGGACTATAGATTGATAGGTTGCAAAGGTCATAAGAAAAAAAACAGAGAATATGTAAATTGAGATTATTAAAGAAAGCATCAGCTAATTTTTATTAGCCTGCTTCGGTTGAAAAAAAAAAGATTGTACTCGGAGCATGCTCCTGCGTACGGAATTCGCTGGGAGACATAAACACCATATGCAGGTTATAGTGTAATATTTTTTACATTATGAGGGAAGCTGACGATAGAAAAGTAAAAGTTGCCCCGGTTGTTATTTAATCCATATGTTAGTTGGCCATTAACGTCTATTGGTAGTAAAACATTCAAATATGAAACAGATGGGGAAGACTTTGTGTTGAGTTCAGTGGGATATATCGAGTCGATATACGATTGATTGATTGTATATAAAATGTTTTACGTCCCATTCGAGAATTTTTTCACTCATATGGAGACGTCACCATATATTGATGAAGGGCTTAAAATATAGACCTTTACTCCGCAATCAGGGTCATTGAGTAGTGAGAGTTCCTTATCGTGACAACACTTACCGTGGCAAGGGACCTCGGTTTTTAAGATCTCATCCGAAGGACCCGCAATTTTCACTTCAAAGTGCCGAGCGCTTGGCGAAGGAACAGTTGCTACCTATTTTTATCGACTTAGGTCAGTCGCTCAGTTATTCAAACACACGACCTTCCGATCAAGGAGCGAGTGCTCTACCGATTGAGCTACCGTGACGGTGAAATACGATTGAAATTAACTACCATTAATTGATAAGTCAATGTACAGGTATCTTAATGTCGAATTCAATGCCACAGCAAGAGCATGTAGAAATTTTGAATAAATTCTGCTAAAATAGAATACTGAAAAAAGTCGGCCATTAAAGGGTACAACTATTACCCATCAGATTTCCAAGTCTTCAAAATCTACATAGATAATAAGGAACTCAAGCATCCTCTTAATAATCCCTTCAGAGTACTTCTGTATAGAATGAAAATATTTTAACATCAATTTCGTAAGATATGTACATTTCGAAGTTCCATTTTTATTGAAAAAGCAGTTCAGAAAGACTGTTTTTTTTATTTATCGTTAAGAATGGTTGCATCTATTGTTGAAGTCATACATCAAGTTAATTCCATATGTATAGAATAATTTTTTTTAAATAGTTACATGTACATAATTAAGGATTCGGAGAGTTTTTAAGTATGACACTGACAGTCAGTTTTGTAAACTAACTGAATATTAAGATTTCGTTACAATAACAGAATTCAAGAACGAAACATGTAATAACAATTTTTTGAGAAGACTTAGAGTTATAATATACTCTAACTACTGAAAAGAAAAAAAGAGTCTTCGTACCATATATATTTTGTTACTTAATTGTAAATGTATATTTTGTAATTTTGTCTCCCTATTTTTATAAATACAAGGGGAGAAATAACCACGGAGAATACAACTCCCAAGGCCATGGAAGTTATAGTATCAATCCGAGAAAACAGCAACTCCCAAAGCTATGGAAATTATAGTATCAATCTGATAAAATAGCAACTCCAAAGCTATGGAAATTATAGTATCAATCCGAGAAAAAGCAACTCCCAAAGCTATGGAAATTATAGTATCAATCCATGTTTTGGTGGTTTTTATCTGAAAAAATTTGAAAAAGCAATATGAGGATATTGTCCGTTAAGTAATACTAAAAGAGGATTTCAATTTGCTTTGTACAATTGAGGGGCATTTTTATATAGGTACGTACAAAAAACTGAAATAACTGCAGAAACATAATGCATAAATACTTGCCATTGTTTACTTTGCTCATCAAACACTTCATCCTAGAAAGGTTTTCCAACCCTTTTCATCGTGCTGTTGTGACATCTAGTTTCACATGCAGGGGAAAGTTCGTTCGTTTGACAGACAGTGGCAGTGCAATGCAGTTCTAAGGAACCCTCATTTGATGCATATTCGAAGTACTGGAAGGCAAAATGGGTCTCATGGGCGCTCTGAGACAGAAGAATAGCATTTGGATCTATTACACATCTGAAAAATATTTGAGTTTAAAACACTGATAACAAAATATAGAGGATTACATGATTGTTATAAAAACAGGTCATAATAAATATTTTGAAAAAAATTACCCATTCTTAATGATGAAATAGACCATGTTTGGATCAGTTGATAATGCTGGTGTTGTATAGCAGTTTGATAGCCTCGTTTTAGAATGACTGTCCTTGTCGTCACTGTATGCTCGAACATAAACCTTCTCCCCAACTTTCGAACTGTTCAGAGTTTTTACATGCAAGTAGGAAGGATCAGAAAAGAACTGAACATGTAAAGGCTGATCAAAATGTATGGAAGCATTGTTGGTAAATGGACCATTTGGAAATACTTTTGTACAGTTGACTGTCAAACGAAATCGGTGTTCACGAACGATGAAATGATAGTGCTTATCGTGAACGGCGTAGACTAATACATTCTGGTAATTGATCCCTTCTGCTATATACTGAATAATAAGATAAATCATTATGCATTTTAAGATTTAAAGTAAACAATTTATATAATTTAATCTTATCTGATTACATACCATCTCCTTTGTTTGGCATCCAGTGAACTCTTGTTGAAAAATTATATAGTCTCCATTTACAAATCCGGTACAATTTTCGTTATCTTGTCCAATGTAGATATCATTGACCTTTAAATCTGGGTATTCATTACGTATATTTGGAAGATAAAGAGTAATATTCCATGCATCATCAAGACATCCAACCGTCACAACGCTTTCTGGCTCAAAGACTGCAAAAATATCTGTTATTTATTAACCTATGAGGATTTTTCAACCAATCATTGCATAATTTTACGATGCAAATTATATCGGTAAAGAAAAATACTCATCATTCAAGTGTTAATTTCCTTCTCTACCAAAGTGAAGTTGATTCTGATTATTGTAAAATTCAAATGCCTAGATCCCATTACAAAAAGGGAAGAAAGTTGATTAAAATGAAGTATAGCAAGTATGGACAGTGTTAAAATTCTTCTGGCTTTGAACAGAATAGCATAAAGAAGTTTTCACATGATACAAAAGTGTGAAAAGTACAGGTCATTTCTTCTATTTGTCAAAAATATCAAATGTAGATATTCGAGGCCTTTACATGTAATTATTTGCTAACACTATACAATTGTAATCCGTGTTTCTCCACATTCACGCAAATGTGTGTGTTCTTGAGAGAGGAGATTTTCAAATATTGGCAAAAGGAGAGTATCACTTTAATTAAGTTTTTAGAAGCAACGTTATTTCCATATATGAGAGGCATTTGAAAAGTTCAGAGAACTGTTAAATAAGATATTTACTGTTTAATGGAAGTTAATGAGTTTGATATAATTGAAAAGAGCTGGAAAATGTGCACTTATTTCGACGTCACTTTGTTATCTTTATGACGTAATAATTTCGAATATGACGTCAGAATCCCGTGTGTTTAGTATAATGAAATGTCGCTTTTTTTGTCCACATGAGAACAACGGAATAGGATTGTCAACAGACTCCTTGAAAAAAATTTTCAAAGAAACTTTGCATGGAGCTAGAGTATGACTGTAAGAATGGTATAAATCCGCAACTCCACATTTCATTTTATGTTTGGTTTATAAGTACGGCTTATGACCGGTCACGTTATCACAGACATTCATAAAATATATTTATTCATATGATGTAACCGGGCTATAGGTCTATCATATAGCTCTCCACTGTATTAAACAAAACATATTCTGTATAAAACTGAAGTGTAGCAATGCTGTTTTCCACAAATGTATCTTGAGTATCAGGACCATTACTGTTTATGAATAAAACGTACAAAAGTCTTTTTTCAGACTTGTTTCTGTGCGTAATTTTTTTTTTTCATATTTTTCCAACTTGAGCGATCCAAAACTCATTATTGCTTTTAATAACATGCTATGTTTGACACACTCTTAAACCACCTACGAAATATAGGAGCTCCTGAATATAACTCCGTATTACAGACTGTAGACTGTAAACATTCTCTCAACTGGCAATTGTGTTCGTTAGCGTGCATCCAAGTAATGAACAAAAGTTGAGTTTAAAATTTTAATTTGCTGAAAGTGTCTCGTTAATTTATGATGATCAGTGTGCTACACAGGGATTCTGACGTCATTTTCGGAGTAACGTCACAGTATGTGTATATTTTTCTGATCTTTTCAATATAAAACTCACTAATTTCTGTTAAACGGTTAATATTTTATTTAAACATTTCTCAGAACTTTTCAAATACCCCTCGTAAACTTACCTCCCGATGTTGCGCAAGTAAAAGAACTTTGTCCAAGTTTTACGAAAGAAATTACGACAAAGTCCAAACGTTATTTAGGAGTAACTTTGTGTTTTACTCTAATTTAAAAATAGTAGTAATCTTTTAAAAATAATTTTGAAAGAAATGTTATGCAAGCAAATATTTTTGGATAGAATAATTGAATTTGAAAGAATTTCCAATCATCAGAAGGTTTTGGTTCTTTTCTAAGACGGAACCCAGACGTCTAAGATGAGAAAGAAGCCCTATTGGTTTGATTTCATTTAGTTGATGGTCAACTTTTGTACCAGGTTTTATTGAAATTAAACTATACATATATTTTGAAATAGCGTGTACACCATATTAAATGTTAAATAATCAAGGAAACATCGCTCATTGTAATTTAAAAAAAGACTGACATGTAAAAATGTGCATTGATAGTCTACATTGTATTTGTTTACCAAGTTTCACTGAAATAGGAAAATAATTGTAGGAAGTATGCCGTTTCGAACATGTGTCAAAGGTTTTCATTTTTAGTAATTATAGTAACACTGGTAATCAAAATAAAAAACAAACAGAACTATGCATCTTGATGTATTCCATTTGTATATTTGAAAAAAAAAACTAAATAAAATTGCATCACTTTGAAAGTCGTTCGCATATTATTCTATTTTAAAACAGCAACATCGAACAAATAAAAAAAATTGATATAAAGAATAGTGAATCTCTGTTTAGTGTATTTGCGCACCAAATTCGATTAGTATTGGATTAAAATTGAACAAGAAGTAGCATCTGGGGAAAAAATCAAACAAACAAGCATGAAGACGGCAATACACCTTCGTTACCAACGGATAAGCTGTTCTGGTGTCTGACCAAATAAGGAATCTTTCACATTTTTTTTTTTAAAATTCAACTCACTAGTAGAGTTTTCACAGGTTTCCCCAATGTAACCATCCAAACACGTACAGTGATAGGCCTCATAGGGTGAGTTTTGATGACAGCTTCCACCATTTTGACAGGGATTGTTATGACACCCAATACTCGTGGTTGTCATTACCGGTCCTAATAATGTTGAAATGCAAGAAAAGTTTCATAAAATGAAATATGAAGATAACGAACAGTATTCAATCTCGAAAGTCTAATAAAACAGTACAATTTTGGAGCAGAGCAAACACGGACCTCAAAAATTAAGAGGTGGGATCAGGTACCATGAAGGAGTGAACATCCCCTGCCGGTCAAAATATATCTCAAATTCTTTCTTTTGAAATTTTTATTTTCAAACTGATCTAATGAAACAGTTTTTTTTTTAATAAGTCCTGGTTGAAGAAATTAGGTTGTACTTTTAAATAATTCAATTGCTTTTCTCTGATTTTTTTAAATTAAGCTTTGATAAATTTTTCAAAATAAACAAAAGTTATTGATGATATTTTTGTTTATTTTAGGGTTTGTTTTAATAGACTCTATACGTTGCTTAGCACTCACCCTTGCAGTGAATATTGACCACTTCGATACAAATATGCGAGACGGTATAGCAGGAAGACAGCAAGTTTGTCCTACAGTTTATACGTTCTGTTTGATATCGATTGTATGCAAAACCCCTGCAATAAAAATATATAAGTATATACAATTATCATCGCTTAATTACAGATACTTTTCATGTTCAAATACCATGCCGTTTGAATACAAAAATTGATTTAGATCGTTGCAATTTTCATTAAAATTACATTTAACCATCTATATAAAATAAATATTTTATGACAAAAGAAATAAGGGATGAAGGTCGGTTCATATCTGGTAATATAGGATTGGATATTACTTGGTAAATGAACTGTAGTGCAGGCCTTTTGCTTGACACAGTGCTTCTCCTGCATTTTCTGTGAAGGTGTCATAACAAATCTCCAATGAGTTAATTTTTACCCTTCCGCCGTATGGAAAAGCAAAAAAGATGCCCCTCGCTCCTAAAAAGAGTGTTCAAAAAATATTCCATGAATTTATTTCACAAAGTCATTCATATTTAATCACATTTATATGTCATACAAAAAATATATATACAGACAGAGTGAACATTCTAAGTCATTCGTTTTTGCTTATTATGACAAGCTAACATGCATGAGACGTATGTAGTAGAATGTCATTACTATGAAAATTTTAAACCATGAATGAAGGCAAACATCTGAAGATAACAATTCAACAATTATCATTTCCAAAAATTGAATGCAACAAATTAACCCGACCAAAGGATAGAATAAAATGTCGTACAAAAAATGTTAAATAGCGCAATAAATTACCAAAATACATATGTTACAAAATACCTACTATTGCTTATTACATTTTACATTACAAATAAAAAAAAATCATGTATTTTGAAAACCAGTAGCTTTGAAGAGTACCACAAATCTCTATAAAGGCACAAAACGTGAAAATTTCTCTACACTGTTTATTGAAGTACTTATAAAATTGACTTACCGACAGTGACACCATGAACTACAAAAATTATATTTAAAAAGATACATGTGTATATATTAAAATGGACATTATTATTTCTATATTGTATATTAGTTTTTCTATATGTTGATATGTGTAAGTACCCGGAAAGCTCGTCGTTGTGATTCCTGAAGTAAAAAGACTTGATTCTGATTTTGGTTTTAGCGTCGTGTGTGCTGTAAAGTACAAAAACAGAATAGTATAATGAAATAATTCACAGGATGAGAAAGCTTTTTTGAACACAAAATACATATCCAGTTTCCTTCTCAATAGTATCCAAATTACAAAATAGTATTGCAAATTTGTCCAAAACGTGCTATGTAAATTGTGCTGTTTGTAATCATCGTCGATTAATGATATTAAAAATCATGTTAATATTATAATTAATGATATAATTTATATTCCAATTATTGTTCATTTACTAATAGAAACCGATTATTTATCATTTTGTAAGGGATGAAATATCAAGATAACGAACAGTAATCAAGCACAAAAGGCCATCAGAACAGTACATATTGGGAGCAGACTAAACAATTATCTTCAAAATCATCAGAAGTGGGATCAGGTGCCATGGAGGAGTAAGCATCCCTGTCGACCGGTCACACCCCCATGTCTCTTTGCCATTATTTCGTAAACGGAAAAATCCGTAAGACAGTTCAGTGTGAAAATAATGGCCTAACAATTTGTATGAAAAAAAAACCAACATTCGACTAAACGATAGATTGTATTTGCCAACAAGGTCATCGAATTAACCATAGAATTTGCGAAAGGTTGACTTTAAACGAGACTGTTGTTATCCTTGTATCATCAACGTATCCTTGTATCATCAACTAAGCTTGCCTCGTTTTACAAAGTGTTCTTTCATAGAACATGCTGTTGCGTATTGAATCAACTTGGAGACAAACTCAGGTGGTAATGGTATATTGCTACATAAATAAGAGAAGATGACAAAGAAAAGTTGAAGTCATCACTTTTTTATAAAGTTAGGTTGTTAGTTTGCCATTAATGTTTTTCTCTAGTGAAATATCTAAAAATGAAACAATGTGTCAGACTCTGTGGCGTCTTTTATTTCAATTTCAAAGGGATATATCAAATCAACGTAGGAATAAAAAAAAACGTAATTGTTTAATTGGTAAAAATTGTTAATTGATAAAACGTTGTTGATATAACTACATGTAATTGTCGAATTAAAGCCTACAGCAAGAGACTTCTTCTTTTCATGTAGTTTTTAAATAAATTCTGTTTCATATGAAAAAAATGGGTCTGCTAACAGCAGGGCGCAATTAGTACCCTCGCGAATTCCAACAGATTGCAGGAGGATTTGATCTCGAAAAACTACATACATATTGTCAATCAGAAACTCAAGCATCTTTTAAATATCAACTTCGGAGAACTTGTGTAAAATCAGAATGTTTTTAACAAAATAATTTTGCTTTTGATTTAAATGAAAAAAGTGTGTTAATGAACAAATTTTACAGAAAAAGAAAAAAAATATATATACATGTATAAAGGTCTACAATCATATTCAAAGACATTTTTTGCAATTGCAAGTGGTTTTTATTTTCGAATTCGGAATTATAAATTAGAAATGTGCTTTCTAAAGAAAATCTTATAAATTTTTAATAGATTTGCTTACTAGAACAGTGGATGTAGACAACATTACGACAATAGGTTTTTGGGGTCTTTAATGAACAGGAAGTCAGATCTGGTGCAGAGCAAAATATATCTGCGTACGGAATCGTTAGGTAGACAAGGGCACTGAATAAAGAAAATAAATAATTTCATTTGCAATAAACCAATAAAATTATTTATGTTGTTATCTGTTACAGATATAAGAAGATTTCTACATGTATAACTTGAAGTTAGTAGTTATATGAAATAAAAATATTCGAAGAATATGGACCATGTGAATAGAAAACTCAGTAATCTATTTGACGTAAATGTATAAAAAGTGATTGGCCTTGAACCTGACAGAATGTTATTTGAAAATTATAATGTTTGTTATGAAACTGTGGACATAAGTAATCAATGGTTCAAATACATTCCCTTAGACTTGTAAGAAAGTATGGCCTACTTACAATAATTTAACCTTTTTTGGCAAGTGACCTTGAAAAGATGTATTATTATTTATGACTTTGATAAGCAGTAACAGGAAGAAAAACAAATTTTATATAAATATATAAACCTTTCATGGGAAGAATATATAAAGCCCTTAGCTGAACACAGCGCCTTGCCAGCAGTTGAGGTGAATGTGTCAAAACATATCTGTTTACCCCGAACTTCCACTCTCCCGGCTTGTGTAAACACAAATTTTATGTCATATAACACTGAAAAATTAAATATAATCACGAATATTACAGAATTCTTCTGTACACATTTGTAATTCTATAGTGGTCAATCAAGAATGCATAACTGTTTAAAACTAGTATCAACATTAACACGATATCATTGCAGGAAATAAAATGATTTTTTTTTTCTATGGAACGCCACAAATCTTTGGGACGAAAAATATGAAATTTATGATGAAGGGGTATAAGGATTCATCAAAATGACATCTACCTAGTTTTCTTGTTGTTCCTGTAAACCAATCAAATTTTCTTTATGAAAATATAATTACTCAAAAAGGCAAGAAAAACTCAAATAGAAGACATGAACAAATTTTGGATTCTACATCTATTTTCTGAGACGTCGAAATTATACTTAAAATACGTTTTAAAACACATTTAGATTCATATAGACTGGAAACGATATGCATAAACTAATACAGATTATTAAAAAAGAAAAAGTTACACGGTACCAAATTATGTAGACATGTGAATGTGATTCACTCACCAATAGTAGTTGTCTTCGTCACGTGACTTACAGGACCGGACGGTGGTGCGTGGGATGAGTGAACAGCTCCTTTATCTAGGAAATTGATGAGTTTAATGAACATGAACTGCTAAATATGTTCGTATTTAAGAGTGTTTTTTTTTTTTTTTTGGCAAGTTCATGAAGGTATGAACTAAACCTTTTTACCCAGATAGTTCATCAAGCGTGTAAGAGCTTCTTGAAAGATATGCTAGGATGGAAAATATCATGTCATACCCCCATGAGCTTCTAAATCTAAAATACATTACTTTTATTTACATTCTAACTATCCATTGACTTCCAACATGTTTCTTCGTTTTATTTTAAAGTAGAACCGCCTGACAATATCATTGCTCACAAGTTGCAGTTAATGCGGATAAGAACCTAATTACTAGTATTAAAGAGATATCGCAACTTATGAAAAAATATTTTGACGTAGAATACATGTCAACTACTGAAATCTTTGAGAGTATCTCAATTTAATGAAGGGATTATAGTTAAGGTACATGTATAGTCCCGCTTGATGAATACTGCATTTATTATTAGTTATCTAATTAGGGTAAAAAACATCTATTCTGTGGAACTTAATATCGAACGTATATTTTATATAAATATTTTGCTTTTGTTTTGCATCCTATAATAGTTCTTTTTCGTTTTGTTTTGATTTGGTTTTGCTTTGATTTTTTGTTGTTGTTGTTTTATTTTTCGTCATGCAATAAAAAAATTTACATACCGTCACAATACAAATAAACAACATATGAACAATGGTTGATGTGTTGAGTAACTCTACAATGAGTAATGTTTGCCGAGGAACAAGAAATGTCTAGTGTGTTGTAATTATCTGTGTTTAATCTATCCCTGAAAGAAAATTTCAAAAATATAATACATATGTTGCAAATATAAAATAGAAATAATGCCCGAGATTAAAAATAAATATTTTCACAGAATACTAATATATTATTTTAATTAAGTTGTTCTGTTGACAATTTATGTTCGTAATATTGATTTATCAATTTAAATTTGTTTTAAAGAAAAATATTTTGTTCAAATATTTAATCATGGATGGCATGTTACTGTATGTGGCATACAATTTTTATGGTAAAAACTTCAATTTCAAAAAAAATTGTATATACATTTGCAAATATACTTGAACTTGAGAATGAATCGCCATATTAATTTATTATTCATTATTATATTTTTTCTGCATGATTATTTTTTTCTTACCTTCCAATAACACCTAGGTTTAAACCCTTTGAGCTACAAAGAGCTTCACCAATAATTCTGTTGACAGACGAACCATCAGAACACACTTCCATATTATATATCCTGATCCTTCCATAATTACTGAACGGAAGGTTAACATTGGATTTCCGGAATGTGTCTGAAGAATATGAATCTTATGTGTTTAATGATAAGGATTTCGAAAAGGATGAAAATAAAAAAAAAAAGATAAAAAAAAATTATCAATCTCACAAATCGTATTAACAAAACAAATGTGAATAGGGCAATATCGCTGACTTCTTGAAACCACAGGGATGGGATCAGGTGCCAGTGGGGAGAAAGCATCCTCTGTCGACTGGTCACACTCGTATCACCGGGGAAAATAAGTGTAAAAACTTTCCGGCAACAATGAAACATAATTATGGCAACAATGAAACATAAAAATGCTAACGATGGAATAGCACTATATTAAATTGCACCCGAATAATCCGAAGCCTAGGACTTAACTGATTAACAATGATGCATGTAACATATAAATAATAAAATATAACAATGACAATTAGCACAATTTTGAGCATGAGTGACAGATGGCTTAGATAGAATAACTCATGACATGTTGAGTAAATTGATTAAATTGACGCGTTTTGAGTTACATAGTAATTAGCATAATTAAAGTTTTTCGTGATGTTTAAAGTAATAACAGATAATTAAAAGTATATTTCAAAGTCAGCTAAAACATGTCACTAAAATTGTTTTTACCAAAAATCACACCGTGTAATTCCCTCTCGCTTCGAAAAATGAGACGTCCTCGTCTCAAGAATCACCAGGAATTGAAATGCGGAGCACTGGGGTGTGGGTTCCAGTAACGATTGGTGGTGTAGGAAGCGGTTGGAATTGATGTTGCTTGGTAATACGTTTGGTTGATTTGATTGGTGTTCGTTCGTTGTTCGTTTGATTTTTGGCTGCTTTGAAATTTTGAAATGCGATTATGAAGGGCGGATGTCACTGTTTGAAGATTTTCACATTTTCTCGTTAATTCACTAATATTTGTCTTTAAGGAGGTTGGATCCTGCCATCAAAAGTAATGAGAATTTTTTATCAAGTATATTTTTAGAATTTATACACATAGCTTTATTAAAAATCAAAACAAAAAATGAGGGTCAATGCACTTCCTTTGGCGCTACAGAGCATTTAGTTTGACCTTTTTGCACTGTAAATACGTCTTACACATAAATCAATTTTTAAAGTTTTTCCTCCAATATTTTTTGTTCAAATAAATTATGGGAACAAAAACAGTCTTATTTCATCTGAAATAGACACATTAAAATTTGTGACAATGAAGAAATTTTCAAATTACTCCGCATGTTCAATTATTTGACTTTTTTGCACTAAAACATTTTCATTTTTCTGGCATTAAAAATTTAACAAGCAAAAAAATCATCTGAAAGTAATGATATTTTTCTGAATTTAAGATTAATGGTTAAAAGTATCGTATATATTCAGAAAAGAAAATTAAAATTGAGGGTCTGTGATGTTAATTTTTAGATATAACTAAAATAGTGCTAATTTTAAGCTAAATTAGGACTATTTTTTTTCTTCATTTTCACAAAATATTTGCTATATTTATCAAATATGATGATAGAATTCATGACAGTTTATCTAATAGATAATTTAGGACCAGTATAAAACAGTCCACTGCACAAAATAACTATGTGTGCAGACTGCATGTAAAAATAGGAATCCAAACTTAACATACTTTGAGTACTTTGAAAGAGAAAAAATGATCATTTTCTTCTAAGAAAACCTTCCGCCACAAAATATAGTTCCTCACTTAATGCTTTTGGTATGAAATTTAATCGTGTAGTTTTAACTGAATATAGTTAAATTGGCATTGTAGAATCCAAATTTATTGTAAGAATTAAAACATTATGCAGAATTTTTGAAATATAGGTTAAGATAAAAATCTGCTCAAAAGCTCAGGAGCGAACCTCGTTAAGGTCTTTGTTTTTTATTCTGTAGTGCAGTTAGTTGGATGGTATAGCCTGTTGATTTAAATAAATTGCAAATATCTTCAGAACTTAGGTCTTGGAATGGTAAAGATTTCACTAACTGCAATCTATCATAATAGTCCTTTATTCTTCTTGAATCCCTGCGCCGTTTGCTTACGGACTTAGTCTGCAGATAAAGTACACTCTTCCTTTGCGTCTCCACAACAGCAAACTCTTCGGACTGTTTTTGGAAGCAGTCCGAGAAATACACATACCTGCAGTAGAATCGCATTTTGACGACTTGTTGTCAGACGATCCTACAGACGGGTTTCCCGGGTTTCTCTTCAAGCAGGCCCGTCCTGACCCCTTGGCTTGATCCTTTTTGATCGTTGAATGATCGATGGACGCCAATGGAAATGCATTCCTTTGGGAGGAACGGTAAGGTGTGGTTGCAGAAGAGAAACATACTTTCGCATGGTGACCAAGTTTTCCGCACACGAAACACTCGGAATGTGTAGCTGGACACGTGAAAAGGTGACCGTGGAAGAAAGTTTTCCCGCACCTATAGCACCGTGGACTGGATCCCGTGTCGAGAAAATTCGTGCTGGTCCTGGTGTATTCCAAAGACGCGAAAGACAATGACGCTGGAAAGATGTTGGGAAGGAGCGGTAAAATCCTTTTCTCCGGGTTTGCATGGTGTGGTTGAGGTTATTGTTGTTGGTCGTCTTGGGGAAACTCGCTTAGTTGCTGGTACTCAGGATCAAACTGCTACAAAATATATGCAGCAGTCCCGGGTGTTATACCCTTAGGATATCTCCACCAAATTATCACCGGGGAAAATTAGTGTAAAAACTTTCCGGCAACAATGAAACATAAAAATGCTAACGATGGAATAGCACTTTATTATAACTTAGGTCGGTAGGGCGAATTCTGGAAATCCAAAAATTGCACCCGAATAATCCGAAGCCTAGGACTTAACTGATTAACAATGATGCATGTAACATATAAATAATAAAATATAACTAGAGCAAAGCTCGTTGCAAAGCAACGAGTGGGTCTTCCTTCTTAGCTTTTAAGTTGACGTCGTAATAAAAGGATAAATATTTGTTTAATTTCCATCTAAAGGTTACATGTTTCTGTTTAGATTGTCAACTTTGCTAACATTCTCTTTCTTCTTTGACCAAAATATCAAGAGACCTCATCTCCTGAACTCTGAATCTGGAGTGAGCATGAGGATATACAATTCAACTGTACTCTCTCCAAC